TGTACGAACAGCAGGCAGTATACCTTCGGGTGGTTTTGCAGGCAGCCCAGGCCGAAGCCAAAGAATGGAAACTCGATGTCGTCAAGCTTTGGGATCCTACACCCTTGGCTCTAGACATACTTGCTCAAAGTGGTCTAGATTTCGAGGTTGTAGAACGGAAGAACGACAGTATTGCTAGCCTTCTTTGGTACGATGCAGATGGTGGTGTCAGTGACGAGAGGCCATTGTGGCTGAACAACGAGCACTACGCGTGGCAATAGGAGTTGGAAGACCTGATGCCGATGACATTCGAGTCGTACATGTAGTGCTGGTTCAACTGCACAGTTTTTGCGTTTACCCTACGAGAGAGGTTTCGATGAAAAGTCTGGGACAAGATCGTTGATCATCTTTCTCCTCTCGAACTCACCGTGGAACAATTCGCTACCAGTCGCGTCGCCTTGTGACTACATCGCGTTGAGCATAGCGCAGTGGCGGTCCAGTACCACAACTCAGTTTAACAAAGTAGGACTCTTCTTTCACACCTATATCGACAACTGCACGGGCTGCTGTATTTCAATTGCTCGCGCCATGACCCAGATACATTTGAGTTTTCGCCTTTGATGGCAGTACTGGAGTGTACCCAGGTGTGTCAGCCCCCACAGCGCCAGGGGAAACTCTTGTCATCGGAGAGGAAGTAGACTTACCTGTGATGATGTTCTCATCAAGCGCGACGTCGCTTTGATCGATTTTCGGCGCGCTTTGCAATTCCCAATAAGCGGGTGGCATCAGAGTGGTTCGAGCTGGTGGGTCGACATGCCAGCAAGAGTGGGGTATCCACTGCGGACGCCAATCTGTATTTGTGGAGTGAGCACTGGGCAGGACGCGCAGGCGTTTGCGAGATCAAGAACGTACATTTTCCGGTGAATCAAATGTGCGAGTATGCACAGCGTCAGCGATGTCACGTACTGCTATTGGTTGAGGTTTGCAAACCCCGCTTCTGTGCCACCTGCCCGCGGGTTTGAAGCACTAGGTATCGACACACTATTTGTTTGGTTCAAACCTCCCTCATGCAGCTTACACAGGGAGCAGACAATTTCGGAAGCTGCAAACTGCCTAGGTGTACTCGACCCTAACTCTCAAACACGTCGCATAGTCATCGATTTCCAACTGCGATCTACCAACCTCATTCGAATCCAGACTTGTTCAACCCAACGGATCAGCTTTAGCTTCTCTTTTCAACCGTCATGTTTTCTCCAAGTAATACGGATAACCGAGAAGCGGACGGGCAAGACAAACCAGGAGTAAACCAGAACCCGCACGAGTCAGCTGCAGACTCGCCGGTGCCATACTCGCTTTTCACAAAGAACGAACGATACGGAATTGTTGCTATGATCACCCTGGCAGCCTGGTTCTCGACTCTGAGCAGTTTCATTTATTACCCTGCCCTTCCGATGGTTGCCAAGGATCTGGACTCGTCGATTACGATGATCAACCTTACCGTCACGTCCTACTTGGTCGTATCTGCCGTCGCTCCCGCGGTTGTCGGAGATGCAGCTGACATGTTTGGACGCCGACCCGTTTACGCAGTCACCCTTCTGCTGTATGTCGCCGCGAACGTTGGGCTTGCAATGCAACACTCAGCTGTGGCACTCTTACTGCTACGCATGGTGCAAAGTGCAGGGATATCTGGCATGTGGCCCCCGCCAGGTTCTTGACGAGCATGAATGTGCAGCAAGCTGACAACTGTGAACCAAGATCAGGCGCTTTCTCCATCTCATATGGTGTTATCGCCGACATCTCAGCACCAAGTGAGAGGGGGGCCTTTGTATCTGCTGTTTCATTTGGGTGAGTGAAATCGCTACACAGCGTCACACTCTAGATCAGCTTCTTTTGACACTCGATAGGATCACCACCGCGCCAAGCCTGGGCCCGGTCATAGGTGGCGCATTTGCCTCCGGTCCTGGTTGGAGATGGATATTCGGATTTCTAGCCATCGTGTCCGGCTTTTGTTTGGTCACACTATTACTCGCCTTACCGGAGACCAATCGGAGCATTATCGGGAACGGCGGTATCAAACCTTCAAAGCTATTGGAGCCTATCATCAGAGGTATCATGCGGCCATGGGACGGCCAGCGCGGCCCGAGTACTCCGCCCCCACCCCTTCAAGTCAAGAGAATACCGAATCCAATCATGAGTCTTCGCGTATTGTCACGCAAAGACGTGGCTGTAAGCATTATGCCTGGAAGTTTCTTGTACACTGTTTACTGCTGCATTCACACATCACTGTCGACAACCTTTGTGCAGGTCTACCATCTCAAAGAATGGCAAGTCGGCCTGTCATATCTTCCATTTGGTGTCGGCGCGATTCTTGCGACTTTGATCTCCAGCAAGTGGATAGACCGAGACTATCGTATTGTAGCGAAGGCCCATGGCTTGCCCGTGACTAAAATGTCTGGGGATGATTTGTTGAATTTTCCCATTGAAGAAGCTCGTATGAGGAGCGCATTCGCGCCCGTCTTTTGTGCTTTTGCCTCCATCTTGGTCTATGGCTGGCTGGTCAATGAGCGTCTAGTGAGCAGAGTGGCGTCCCGAAGGGTTTCATTCGTTGGCTGACACGCCTTAGCACCTTGCAGGACCTCTGATCTGCCTTTTCTTTGCGGGCCTTTCTATCCAGACTTGCTTCAACGTAAAAGCCCTCAGCTACAGTTCATGATAGCCCATCGCTAACTGTCTTAGATCAACAACACTCTACTGGTTGATATCAATCAAGACATGCCAGCAACGGCTCAGGCTTCGTCCAATATCGTCCGTTGTGCCCTTTCTACCGTCATGATAGCCGTTCTCCAATACCTCATAGATTCTATAGGTTTTGGCTGGACCTTCGTTATCATGAGTTCGTTTTGCCTCATTGCCGGTTTCTTTTACTTCATCGAGCTAAGATTTGGACGAAGGTGGAGACTGGCCCGGAATGGGTTGACGGTTCACTAGGTAAGATGCAAAATCACACTTAGTGCAGAAATGGGAAGTCTTCAGCCATTGGTTTGTACAGGCCGGAAATTACGAACACATGTCTCATTCTCCCTGATACCCGTTCGGATACTTTTCCAGAATTCGCTGCATATCCGCAATGGCCCTGCTTTATATCAGTGGATCCGTGCGTGGTAAGAATAGTCGGTGCGTACATCTTTCGAAAGTTGCTGTTGTCCGAGTACAAGGCTGAGGCGCAAAAGTGTCCGTTTCTTCGTTACGTTAGCGGCAAAGACATTGGTCTTGGCTGGTTTGCTTACATAGCATAAAGAAGGTTGCGATCCTCGTAGTCATCTTCGGGTTCTGTTATCGGAAAGAACTTGTGATATTCTCGCATCCACTGCCGGCCGAGCTTGTAGCGCGGGGTGGCCATACTACCGACATCGTCTTTTTTTTATCGAAAATCACCTCGTCAGTCCCATTACAACTTCAACAATAGAGTAGCTGCTTACATTCATTATGACCCCAAAATACAGATGGGTCAAAGTATACTGGGTCACCGGTAGCTGCATTGGTACCCATGTTACCGCACCAAATGTTGCCATGGAGTGCAACGGGTTTGAGACTTCGACCATGAGTGTTCAGGGGTCGAAGAAGGCGAGGAATGACCTTCTCTTTGAGACCAAGTACCAGTCTTTCAATCTCTTCACTTGGGCCCTGCGATACCAACTCCTGGTCGACAAAGGACTGAAAGCGGCGGCTGTAGAGCTCCTCCCATGTCTCACTCCATGTCAGATCCTGATACATACTTCCTTCGTGGGTCATGACATGGTAACCGAACTTCGTCGGAGCTTTCGGGTCCACCATGCTGTCGTGATGGAGTTTAGCAAGCATGGCAGAGAATTTACGAATGTCCGGGAGATCTTCGATCATCTCCATAAATTCAGCGAGATAGAAGTGCTTGCTTGGATCAGATACGTATGTGCCCCAAGCAATGGCACGTGGGATTCCTTCTAAAGACCGATGTTCAAAGTCAGAGCTGTGTCAGTGTTCATCTACCTAGGTCGCGTACCTGGAGTGTACTCATGCAAGGTTTTGACGCCATAGTATTCTCCTCTTAGCATACTCATGCCTAATTCCCCACTGGAGACCTTCAGGAAATACTTCTTGGGGGTCCCATCGGCTAGTTGAACATCGATACGCGCAGTGCGTGTCCAGAAGCTAGCGCCGTGTGATTTTGCTCCCATCACTTTGCATCCCGGCGGTAACTCTTGGTGGCGATCAGTCCAGTTCTTGTCAGCACTCGGGAGATTTACTTACTTTCAACGATGGCTTGGTCTACATCAATAGCCTGCGACGTAAGTTGTTTCGTTGGCTCTGGTATCCACGTAATTTCCGTCATGCTTTGAAGCGAGTTCGAGATGGTCTATGTGGGTCGACAATAGTTTTAAGGCTGGCACTGACTAGAAGATTTGGCCTTACAAGGTTGAGTGAGTATTAAATCTGGATGAAGAGAGACATCGGCGGGGTCGTTATTTGGGGCGAGGTTCCACAGAGCGGTCGTTACATAGAGCTTTAAACCCGATTGGTTGGCCAGTGAGGGATGCAGGATGCGGGTGAGAAGGAATGGCTGCCCAGCTGCCACCCAATGTCCTCTGCTCTGCAGGCGCTCACCGGCACACGCCACTCATGCGCATTCGTATCGCCTCGATTGCACGCGATTAGGAAGGCGACAACACATCGTTGCGCTGACCAATTGGTCTGACCCACTACCAGGCTGTGGCTTGGAACATCATTGCTTTTGCGGCTGTTTGCTGAAACCCATTTCCACTCCGCTGTCGTATCTTGTTATGTCTTTATAGGTTAATTGGTTGCATTTTTGGGAAGAGTCTGACTCTGCATTGCCCCATGTACACTAGCCTGACCTTCTAGCGACCTGTTTTCATCTCCAACTCCACTCAATCTCGCCAGCTCCACATCTTCAGAGACCCACCTGTTCTCATTCTTTGTCCAGGCAGCACGATAACTCGACTTTCTCTAATCAAGTCCATGCGATGGATGACGTAAGAGGCCCACAGCTTTTAGTCTCAAATGAACGACTGATTCAATGTTACAGGATGTCAGCGATCTCCCCGACATCGATAAGAGCATCGAAAAGCGGAAAACTGCGAAGACCAGCAGTGCCAGCATCGCATCTTTCGGCTCATCTATAGGCCGAAGATTCAGCTTCAAATCGTTCTCTAGTCGCAAACCAACGACCAAAGTCGAGAAGCCACGGAACGAATTTGGCCTAAATACTGTGTACGAACCGGACGAAACTTCGGCAGTCATCGCAGACCTTGTTTTTGTGCATGGTCTCGGCGGTGGTTCCAGCACAACATGGTGTCTCAAGCAAGACGCCGATTACTTTTGGCCAAAAGAGTGGTTACCTAAAGACCCAGACTTCAAAGGAGTCCGTATCCACAGCTTTGGATACAACGCGAATTGGGCCACCTGGCTGAAGAGTCCGGTCGACATCCATGCTTTCGGTCAGTCTTTAGTCGAAGACCTGAGGAGCGATCCAAAGATCAATAATCTGGATAGTCGCATTATCCTTGTAGGGCACAGCATGGGTGGTTTAGTGATCAAGAAAGCATGCGTCTTATCTAAGACTAATCCGGATTACAGCGACATCGCTAACCGATTACATTCGTTGTATTTCCTGGGTACTCCCCACCGAGGCTCGAATCTCGCTGGTGTTTTAAACAATTTCCTTCGCCTGTCTGGAAGTGGACGAAGAGCGTACGTATCCAGTTTGCAAGCTAAGTCAGAGAGCATACGTATTCTGAGCGACTCCTTCCGTATTCATTATGCGGGAATACATTTGCACACATTCTACGAGTCTCAGCCCACACCTCCTGTTGGAATGATCGTCGATCAAGAATCCGCTACTCTAGGTCTGCTAGCCGATAATAGCCATGGATCTAATACTGACCGTCATAGGTTACGCTGAAGAACGCATCCAGTTGTTAAATGCGAACCATCGCGATCTAGCCAAGTTCGAGACTAAATTGGACTCAAATTACAGGTCTCTAAGAAACCGTCTGGCATCAACAATCGATCAGATAAGGCTCGAAATGCAGAAGCAAACAACACCATCGAATTTCTCAAGTATGGAGATTGGTATCAAAACTCCCGATGCATCGGTACTGCTATCTTTACCAGAGCTGTATCAAAGTAGGGCGAACGAGATGGAGGAGATCGCTAAGTACCTCTCCATCGATGCATCAGACGACAAAAGGCTTTCAACCCTCAATAACACAAGAATGACTGGATCAGGTTCCTGGCTCACTAACAGAACCAGTTTTCGGGAGTGGCGGTCGCCACCAGCACCTCGCTATTTCTGGCTGAAGGGGACACCGGCGTCGGGGAAGTCAATGCTCGCAAGTTATGTTATTGAGTTCTTACAAGACAGCCCCGTATGTCACTACTTCTTCAACAAAGGTGATAAGACCGACAACAACGTGAGCAGCTTTCTACGCTCCATGGCGCTACAGATGGCTCAGATCAACCCTGTCGTTCGTAGCGCGATTTTCCGGCTTTCACAGAAAGGTCCACCCATCGATGCTCGCAACCAGAGAACCATCTGGAACACTGTTTTCACGAGCTGTGTGTTTCACGTTACATTCCCTACCCCGTAAGTGTTTTGCAGCTCCTATGCAGGGCGGAACTCACACAACCGCTGCAGTCATTATTGGGTGGTTGATGCATTAGACGAGGCAGCCGACAGGGGCACATTAAATGAATGTTTCAGTCTACTGTCCAAGATCGACGAAAACATCCCACTGAAGATCTTCGTCACCAGTCGACCAGATCCCGCATTGGATGATTTGTTCGTGCAGCTTCCTCTGGTGCAAGAATACATATCGCCAGAGGATTTGTTGCCCGATATCTCCTCGTACGTCCAGAAATGGTCCGCCACCTTCCCCGTTAATACAACTCAAGAAAGAGAAAAATTGGTTGACAAGATTGTTCGCATGTCTGGCGGTAGCTTCTTGTGGACCGTGCTAGTGACTAAACAGCTTCGGGAAGTTTTCACTGTCGGAGAAGTTCACGAGGTTCTATGCGAGATTCCTCAAGAAATGGATGACCTATACACGCACAACATCCGGAAAATGGAGTCCCTGAGGTCAAAGAGCGCAGCAAAGCATACAATTACATGGGCAATCTGCGCTGTGCATCCCTTGACCGTCAACCAGATGAAGGATGCTATCAGGCTGACTCTGGGAAGTCCTATAGCACGCGATCTACGAACCAGTCTCCAATATCTTTGTGGATACTTCCTCGATATTGATGTGCAGTCGCGGGTACAGCTAGTTCACGAAACAGCCCGCACTTTCCTCACTCATCCGGATCTGAACTCAGACTTTCGAATTGACTATGCCGAAGGACACAGTCTTATTGCATCGGCTTGCCTCAATCATCTGATGAGCGATGAATTGAGTTATTCAAGGAGACGGCGTAGCTCCACTACGAGCGGGCACAGCAAGACTTCAATGACTGACTACGTATGTTTACGGTTCAGCGAACACATTCTTCGAGCATCCTCCCAGTCCAACGAACTGTTCAACACGTTAGACAAGTTCTTCAGAACAAACGTGCTTTCCTGGATCGAGCACGTGGCCCATCTCAAAGATTTGGACTGTCTTAATCGAACTTCAAGACACCTGTCGAACTACCTCAACCGCAGGATGGAGCATGTTCCGTTATTGCAAAGCGATCTCCATGCCTGGGCCGTCGACTTACCTAGGTTGGTAACACAGTTCGGCGTCAATCTTCTGAGCGATCCCGCTGCCATCCACACACTCGTGCCGCCGTTTTGTCCTCGAGACTCTGCTGTATACCGGCACTTCGGATATGCTGAGGATGGCATCAAGCTAGTAGGCGCGTGGAACGCAGGTTGGGGGGATAGGATATGCTCCATCTCATATCATGACACCTACGCGACAGTGGCTGCTTCTCGAGACGAACGATTCGCTGTTGGGTTGGCTGACGGCTTGGTCAATGTCTATCGAACCTCCACGTGCGAACACCTCCTGAGTATGAGACATGAAGAATCAGTATCAGTTCTGGAGTTTGGTTCCACATCCAAAGTCATCGCCTCAGCTGGTTTGCGGTTTCTAAGACTGTGGGATGTGGTGACTGGCGTTCAACTCTTCCACATCGCTACCGATTCGCAAACCCTAGCTTTGACTTTCGACGAGACAGAAACGTCGGTTACAATAGCGACCAGAGACAAGCATGTTCTGACTTACAGAATTTCCGATGGCTCACCGCTACACCAGGTCCCCTGGATTGACGCTTTCTCTGAAGACACAGACTCAGGCTTTGCACCATCTCCGTCTGCGGCCAGGCTATCTACAGAACAACAAACACTTGCGATAGTCTATCGAAGCAAGCCGGTACAGCTGTGGTCTCTGGATAAGCAGCACCGTATCGGGGCTTGCTTGAGACCGGCAACGCACAAGAATGACAAGGGAGGCCACACCGTCAACTGTCTAGTCTTCAATACCAGCTCTGCAAACCCACGACTTCTGGTGTCATATTGGGACGATATCCTGGTCAAGTTCGATAGTAGGACTTGCAAGCCGCTCCTCACAACTGCGACATGCGTTACGAAGATAGCTATGTCTTGTAATGAAAAGACCTTTGCTGGAAGCGACGGCAATGGCGGGATCAAGATTTTCGATTTCGAGACACTCCAACCTCTCCACAGCATACATATACAAGGAGATCCGGTATCGTCGCTCGCCTTCACTAGCGACAGCCTGCGCATCGTGATTCGCGGGGTACGCAAGCCAATGTCTGGGAGCCACTCGTCCTCTTCGGGCAAGACACTGAAGCTCTCTCCAGCGAGCCTAGCGAATCTGTGCACCAAATAGTAGACGACATTGTTGAATCTGTTGTCAACGAGTCTGCTATCATAACCACCCTGCACTGTTGCGATCAAAGTGGTATGGCTTTCTGCGGGCGCAACGACGGACGTGTCGATACCTGCAACCTCGACGACCCCGAGAACACTATGCGCAACCTATACAAGCATGGTGGGTCCTTCATTAGTATTACATGCATGGACTGGAGTCCTAGAGCGCGTGTGATAGCGAGTGCAGACTCTGCAGGAAAGTTTTGTATCATGAAAATCACGACTGGCACACGGAGAGAATGGAGCGCTGAGATGATGGTCCAGTCGAGGTTAGGCCAAGGCTGTATTATACGACAGATCCTCGTCCACCCTGAGGGTTCGTTCGTACTTGTTTCCTCATCAGAGGCGGACTCTATATGGTCATTATCAACCAAGGAGCAAGTAGCGTCACTTGACAGGCGAGAACGCATAGCTTGGAAATGGTTTGTTCGACCATCTGCTCCGTCGCAACTGCTTCTTTTTGAGGACAAGATCTTGCGGCTTTTCAGATGGGAGGACCTTCACCAGATCGCTGCCTCTGAGAACCCCGTGGTGCCGATCGAGATCGAGAGGCGCATGTCTGGGGAACAAGCCGACGCGGATGCCATTTCTGTCTCAAGCGAAGGCGATGACCTGGTCATTCTGCAGCGATCGCAAACCGTGCAGCACAGTGTACCGGGCCTGCGACCTCAGTCTAATGACGCTATGATGACCAAGATACGCGTCTTTGATCTGACTACTCTGGATCCCGAGTCTACTGATATCGGAGGCTCGTCGTCGCCTGATATGTCAATTGACAACGCGACACAGTCTCTTATCTTCTTGAACCCCAAGCCATCTTCAACCCTGGGTATTCCTCTATCGCCAACGGCTACGCCCAATGTCCCATTCTCTTATCCTTTCGGAGGCGGTCGTAGCAAGTCCTATACTCGCTGGTCTTCCATTAGAGATGTCGCTGATATACCCGATGTGGAGAGAATCATTGGTACGGTGAAAAAGTTCGATTGGTGGCATCTTATTTTCCTTTCCAAGATGGGGTGGGTCTGCTCGGTTCAGATCGGGGAAGGCGGTCGCAAAGTCCTCGACCAATTCCAGAAGCACTTCTTTGTTCCATCGGTTTGGCGCACAGGCAACTCGCCTCTTATCGCCAAGGTACGGCGGAGCCACGATATCGTGATTGTACACCAAGATGGCGTTATTGTGGTCAAGAATGGGTTAGACAACGGGGAGCATGTGTCCTTCTCTTTGAGTACGCTATGAACGGGTTCCGAATAGATTGCCAAGTAATGGCCAAGTGGTATTTTGAGAACCTGTAGCCCAATGTGAAGACCGGACAACGCTCTTTTGTTATTGAAAACATGTCAATCTTCATCCCATCCATCGCCTGATCTACTGGCATCCATGTAGTCGACTACGTTCTCCTCGCTTTCCGTGATATCCAACGGGTCGCCTCCCATCCTGAAAGAGTACACCTGCAGTGAGACATTGGCAGCTTTGCATCTGACACGGCGGTGCAACGCTTGGCCCTTGTGGTTGAGTGCAATCAGCAATACCCATCCCTCTTCGCAGGCCTCGCGGTCTGCAACCGCTACAAGCAACGTTTGATGGGTATTTTCGTACTCCTCACCTATCATCTGAGTCACATTGCTTCCTTCCATCGCGTCGGGGCATCGGACTAGAGCGCTTAAGATGAACGGTGGTATATCATCCATCAGCCCGACCTCGTCATCGGCGTCCCGTGCCGCCACTCCGTATGCGGCATTGTTGTCGTCGAATACAAAAAGCCCAAACAAGTTTTCGTCGAAGTTGTAGTTGTGTTCCGGACAGCACGTTACTTTCTGCCATAGTCGGGAATATGCCTCGTCGGCACTTGCGCGTGTAACAATCTCTTCACCCAGGTTCTGCCCATTAAATGCTTCATTGCCATACCATGTCCGGATCCATATAGCACCAGCAGCACGATCCCATTTGCCTGAATCCGTCACTTTGCGGCGCTTCTCGAAGACCGACAGGTTTGAAGGGACGTGTTGAGGAAGTGATACATCGTCGCATCGCTCGCGGTAAAGCTGATCAAGACGCGCGTTAGTAAATGAAATTCGGACGTGCCCACAAAGTGAGATAGGTAGATCCTACCGAACGGCCACGCTCACCGAGGTGGATCCAGGCTTTGATAATGTTTCGTTCTTGCTCGTCTTGGTGTAGAGATGATTCTGGATCCCATTTCTCCTTTTGCTCTTGATCAGTCGCATTCGATAGAGCTTGCTCATGCTCGCTGTGCTGACTAAAAGGCGTAGAGTGCAGTCCGACGTACTAGAAAGAAATGATCAGAAGGTTCCCAGCCGAACGAGGGTTCTAATGACCGCGAACTGGCCATTGAGTTCGATGCCGTCGAGTTGGAATAGAGCGCATATGGTTCAAAGGTTGTGATGTGAGAAGACTTGAACAGGCAGCAGTCTCGGCTGCTGTTCTTGGCGTGTGCAGTGCGTCTCTCATTGGCTCATATGATCCTTCGAAGATCGCGAGCCGATCTTAGCAGTATTGAAGTTACTTCGCTATCCTGTTCCTGGGGTCTGTGACAAGGTCTGTGACGAGATACTTGATCGGAGGGCGCGGCAACAAGTACAATGCAAGCTTTCGCTTTTTGGAAATCCCATCAGGCGACCGCTTCGCCGAAGAATTTGCGCGAGGCATTGCTTTCCTCCAGATTCGCTTGAGTGAAAGGGTGTTCTGAGAAGAGGTAGGGTCGACGATCGCGTCGAACGATGTTTTGTCTCTGATCATGGGTGGCATGGTGTGTTAGGATGCGATTGACGTGTACGTTGGTGGGGCGGAAATGTAGAGTTAAGAATGAAATATCTCTAGATTGCTAGAAATATATGATGTTGATGTTTGGGTCGTGGAGCGATGAACCACGGGTCAGTCTTGCAGAGGATGAGGGGCTGTAGCATCTGTGCCGAGGGAACCAATGAGTCGATTTGTATATGTACTCTCCGGATTGTTTACCGATATGTAAAAGCCAAATTGCAGGCTCAGATTAGCAGAACTTTGCCGTCGCCGGAAACAGCGGTTCTGCGGCAAGGAGAGCATCCCCTGTTTAACGAGCCTGCTTTAGCATGGGGAGCTATGGTAAAAAGGCAACGTCACATGTGCTTAGCGCGGCGATGTCGAGAGTACGCGGGATTACGTTCTGCGCAGCCATCGTGCGCAATAACAAGACTTCATGTTACCATGATGCGGTGTTGAGTAAGCAGATTCCAGATGTTGAGTTGATGTTTGTTAGATGCAGGTCCGGAGTGACGGCGATGATCTGGGCCCAGGCAATGCGGAAGCTACCCCGGGCGGGCCAACGACGTCAGGGCAGGAGCCACCCAGCCATCCTTGATGTCTCCACTCCAGCACGTCTACACGGACGGTACACCTCACCACGACACCTCACAGCCCTCACCGCATCGCGACACGTACTATCCCCCATATAAGCCATCGCGCATCCATGAGCGCTATCTCCGCGCTGCATGTGGCAGACTCTGCGACAATACCATCGTGATTTTGCCATCCCGGGTTCCAAACGGTCACGCATGGCTTCTGGCAGCATTGGCGACGTGCCTGCCGCGACTTTTGCTGAGTACGTAGACGATCCTTTCTTCGACCACGGTGACGAGGCGGGTGCATCGCAATCGCAGACATCGCTGGAAAAGGAGGATGATTTCATGGAGAATGCGCCGCCTGCCGATGCACCGCAATTGGCGCTGGCGCAAAGACCCGAAGCGCCGTCGCGATGCATCGCGGTGCGCCCGGCTCTCACCCACCGTCTCTACTCTCATCGCCTCCATGTGCGGGCCAAAGCTAAGCTACAACGCGATAGACTTCTCTCCGGCCCTATGATCGACGTCTACGTAGGCGAGTCCAAGCGCCACTGGTCGCTGCATCGCAATTTGCTATGCCACCACTCCGAAACCCTCGAGAACGAGCTCCTAGGCGATGCCGACGGTCACACTAGGAAAGATCGCCTCGATCTTCCCGATTACAACCCTGCCGGCTTCGAGCTGCTGGTGAAGTGGCTATACCAGGGCAGCCTCGACGATGTCTCTGACATGGCCGACGCCAACCAGAAGTATGAGTATGCTGTGAGCTGTCACAGACTCTATCTGCTTTGCGATCGCTTTGACATGCTTCAACTGAAGAACGTCGCGATGGATCAGTACAGAAAAGGCCTAAATGAGGCCGAGCTAGTACCTGACGCTGACGAGATTGATGACATCTATCGCAAGAGTCCGACAGGATCGCCCTTCCGCACGCTTATGACGCGCATCGCGGCCCGCCAGATTATGGATCCTGGTAGTGAGCGCGACGTCGAAACCTATCGTGAGTGCTTCGAGAACAACCCGGACTTCGCCATCGATCTGGTCAAAGCCATCAGGTCAGGCACTGGCGGCATGCTGTTCGACGATCCAACAGATGAGGGTCATGAGTGCGACTACCATGACCACGAAGCTGGCCCGAACTGCCACACAAAGGGCAAGGGCAAAGGGAAGCAAGGTGTGTGACTCCGACCTCTCCCAAGCCCACTCAGCACCCTATCAGCCATCTCACTGCTGTCAAAAACGCGTAATAACGTCCATTAACCAGCAAAGAAGAAAGCCGGCCTGTCATCCGCCAAATCAGTCCCCTACATAAGCTCCGACCAGCACAACCGCCCTCCCCGCCCTCCTCCCCCGAAGACGCCTCGCCCGCCTCATCCCCTGCAAGCTCGCCCACAAGAGGGAAGCGCCGGTCCTCTCCGCCGTCGCCTGACAAGTCCGGCGAGCTCGACGGTTGGCACATCGACGGAGATGGCAGTCGCCAGTCAAGCACCCAATCTCGACGCGATTCGCGAGAGGGAGAAGGACAGGGAAAAGCTGCGCAGAGTGACGCCGCCGGAGAGAAGACGCCTGGAGCGGGCTCAAAGCAGTGGAACGGAGATACAGAGGTCACGCCCAGTCCTAGAAGAGCGCCGCCGAAGCTCAGACGACGCGTCTCACCCACACCAGAATAGCCAGCTTGAAGATCAAGCATTGAGGGAGCTAGAGGGAGGACCGGTGCAGCCACCACAGCGATCACCGACGCGTCGAGGCATCTGGGAATGGGCGAAACTAGGGACGGGCAGGCTGAATGTCATCGGACGCATACCCCATCCCGAATGGAAGGGCCCGACTGTGTCGCACGAAGCTGTCGCGAATGGCAATTCGCGAATCACTACCATTCATGAAACCCATGACGATTTCAGCATCCCCTCCACAACGGCTACCGAGACGAACAATCTGCAAGAATACAACCAAGCAATGGCAGCTAAGCTCGAAGGCTTTGGCTTCCCACACGCTCACATTATCACGTCGCCACACTTCTCGCAGACAAAACGCTCTTCCGATGACCTTGTTGCTGCATCATCTACAGCGAGCACGCCAGCGAACCTGAATCTTGTTCTAGAGGGTGGCACAAATGGCAAGCGCGTTACACCGCAGGCCTCGAAAGACAGTCCGCCGTTGACGCCGGACACCCCGACACCGCAACAGCGCAGAAAAGACTCGACGATCGAGACGGAGAGCACACCGACGAAGGTCACCTCCGACAGTGCGAAGGCAGAGATCGCTGATCCACCTCCGAATGGCGTCAAGAAGACCTCTACTCCTACTCCTACTCCTGACCGCATCCCCAAGTATCGGATTGCGCTTTCTTCGAATTTCCTTTCGCCAGCTCGCAACAGTCCGAGTCCGGCATCTTAGTTCTTTCACGACCAAAAGCGATACCCTGTACGTACATATATTTTAACGACTAGCGAATCTTGTAATGCAATTCAAATATTCACGAAACGCGCCATAACATGCACTGGAGCACGACACTAGCACAACAATTCACATATGGCTAGCAAGCTCTGAGCAGATGCTCACTGTAGATTCACTGACCGCAGAGCTACACTTCTGGTGGTTGCGATTTACACAACACGCAGCGTTGAGTCAATCTACTCGTCGCGCGTCCAGTGAACACTGCCCCACTTCAGCCTCGCAGAAGCGATGCCGCAGTACAAGGTTGTCATCGCCTTGGCATATGCTGCTCGCCTCGCCACAGCACGATCGTCACAGTCGCTCTCAAAGCTTCCGAAAGCATAGCGTCCTTGAAAACATTTCCTCTTCCCATCGCCAATCACTTTCGTCTCTTCTCGATTCGCTCATAACCCTCTCGTAACATCACTGTCGCTGACCCAAAGCTGGCGTTTATCACGAAGGCACAGCCATGCCGAAGCACCCACATCACTCTGAGAAAGAAGCCTACCGTTACGAGTCCTTGGGGACAGCGCACAGCATACGGCTCTTACAGATTTGTTCAACGAAGGTACATGACAGTACGATACAGTGGCAGTTTTCGTTGTTGAACACCAACACCAAGCAGGCTCCAGAGTACGAGGCGTTGTCGTACGTCTGGGGTACTCCTAGCCGTGAAGAAGCGCTTGAAATGTCGGACGGCACGTTACTTCGGATCACAAAAAGCCTAAATAAAGCCTTACCGTACATCGCTATGAACTGCTCCACGGGCTACCTTTGGGTTGATCAAATATGCATCAATCAAGACGATTTGTCCGAGCGAGCGCAACAAGTCTCAATCATGGGCAGCATATATTCTAACTGCTCACGCGTTCTAGTATGGCTGGGACTGGTTCAAGAGCTGAAATCCAGCATCGCGGCCCAATGCTCATCGTTGGACAGTCTAGTCTCAGTTCCTCTTGACCATGCACCCCCGAACTACTACATGTTTGTCAGTTGGGGTAAACCGCGCGCCGACAACATTATCAGAGATATGGTCGATTGCGAGCGTAAACAAGAGGACCTTCTAGGCTTGTGCGGTGATATCCTGAAGAGCCCGTGGTTCTCGCGAGCTTGGGTATTTCAGGAAGTGGTTCTGCCACGAAAGTCGGCATTCATCCTACAAGACTCCATGACCCCACCTTTCAACCGCGCAACGGTCGTACTCCCCACCCTTTGGGAACTGTGTAAGACTGCATGGAAGTTGGAAACACATAACCTGTCTACGCCGTCCGGTTATGGGGTATTGAAAGAGATGCATGATCGGTGGGCAGAGAGACATAAGCCATCAATCAAACCTCCGATGCCATTAGACCAGGTGCTGTCTACGTTGAGTGCCGAAGCAAAAACTTCCAGCGTCCATGATCAACTCTATGCTTTCTTTGGAATGAATCAAGATGACCGGATTCGTCTGAACCCATCCTATGAGATTTCTTTGCAGGCCGCCCTGGTCGCAACCGCACGCTCCATAATTGAGGGTACTAAAAGCCTGGATATCTTCGAAACTCTGCCACGATTATCGACAACGAAGACTACACCCTCTTGGGTTCCCAACTTTACCGCACACCGTCTCGTCGTGCCTTTTTTGCCGTTACATGCGCTACGTAGCTCCAACGAACGCTCTGAAATGTATGCATGGAACGGTAAATGCGATGAGCGTACTCTGTGGGTACATGGTCGGGTCGTTGCTACCGTAGACGTAGAAGTTGACCACGAAATCTCAACGTCGGAAGGAGACATCAACACAGCATATCTTCCTTTGCTGCTGCGAATAATAGACGCCTGGACGACTTCTCGATATTATGATCCAGAAGCACCTTTACCAGTGCTTGAGTCCATACTACCGGCGCTCCTTGCGGAAGGGCATTGTGGACCCTGCTCGTACGAGCCGGAGGATACCGCTGTATTTGCCAGCGAACTCCAGATCAAATACTGGTATTTTGCAACGAGCAGAGTGAAAAATCCCACATATTCTGCTGAATACAAATATCGGGTCACGCATCACAACATGGAAAAGCGTACCGTAACCGAATATATCAAGATGGTGATGCAAGAACGACAGTTGTATATTACACGAGATGGACATCTCGCGACAGGAAGCGGGCTTCAAAGAGGTGACTTGATCTGCATTCTGCATGGCTGCTCGCATCCAGTCGCGCTTCGACACATACCTGAGAAAGACGCGTATGAGGTTGTCAGCACTTGCTATCTGGAAGACTGGATGGATCCGTGGAATACAGAGGCAGTGAACTGGAAAGAGGACGAAGCCCAGGAGTTTGCATTAATCTGACACACGCTGTTTGGGAATCTAAGAGACGTCTCGTGGTCCTCACACGTTAATCTGGTTCTTGGTTACATATATAGTGACTAACAAGGTGTTCAAAAGCCGGTATCGCGCGGTTTCAACCTCTGTGTATCAAGTGTTGCTGTTCAGTTCCCGATGATGCCTTCCACATGGGATGATGCTGCGTGGCGAGTCGGGCCTTCTTTATTTACTAGCTTCTAGCGCGTCATGGCGCACGTGCAGACGCGTCACGAAATTCCCAACCGCCTCATTCATCCGATCGCAGAATACCAAATGACAGTACCATGCCATCAGCAAACAAGTTACATCAGTCGCAGCCTATTCTTGCTCTCCTCCAATTGTACCCCCACTTCCTTAACACTGCGGCTGCACACATGCCGAGTACGCCGTCGACGAGCCCAATCGAGGTGAACATCCAACCGTCTCCTATGGCATCTCTAAGTGGCTGGAGCATCGCGACCGCGACGGCCGACAGTATACACCGGACGATGTTGTTCGAGGCCGCGGCAGTACCAGCTTTGTCCGGAAAGATGTCAACCATCAGAGCGCTGTACAGCTGCAGTACGACGGTACATCTAGCACCTATGAAGAATTGCAAGATGAGTGGTATGCTGGTATGAACACCACGCTCAACTGCCCAGCCAAATCCAATGAGAGTGCCGACGGAAAGCATATGCAACGTATACGAGCCACGGGAACGAGCGACCTCAATGGGAAAATGTCGAATATCGTTACCAGATACACGGTCTACAGGAAGGCCATACGATTCGGCCGTTTTCGTGTAGTTGAAGTCCATGAGACGGCCTGCAATGAAGCCGCCCGCGATGACTCCTGCGCCTCCGGTTAAGAAGCATAAACTGACAGCCAAAGGGTTGTAGCCGTATCCCTGACCGTAGACCAGTGGTATGGAGGCTTGGATGCAGTACCACACAGCGTATGGGGAGCCTGCTGACCAGAGGATGAGGAACGTGTCAGCGTAGAAAATGAGACGCACCGACGAGAAAGGATTTGGAAAGCTCCATACGCCTTTACCACGCTTTTCTGAGTCTACGTTTCTGGAGATCTCAGGGCCGATTTGTCTTTCCCGTCTTCCGTTAGACCTGATGACAGAGCACCATGTTTTCCACAAGGCGCGAGGACAAACCTCTCCGTTGCCAACGATGTTTCTTCCGGTTTCAGGCATAGTCCATCCGATCAGCATCAAAGAAGATGCGCCAAAGATGACGAGCGTCCAGAAAGCCCACTGCGTCTGTCCCGTAGCTAATACGATACCGCCACCAACGACAGGCCCGAAACATGGCCCAAAGTTCGTAGCTGCGAGCATTGGTCCAAGGATTCTCCCTCGCTCCGCAGGTAAAGAGATATCGGCGACGACCGCGTAAGCTAGCGACATCACTGCCGAACCTCCAACGCTCTGCAAGGACCGCAGGACTAGTAGTGTAGCGTAGCTATTCTCATTGAGAGCCAGGCCCAGGCTGGCTGCGAGGTATATCGCAAAAGTCACCAAGAAGACCGGGCGGCGACCAAGTGTATCCGACAATGGGCCGAAGAAAGCTGGCGAGATCGCCTGAAAGACGAGATAGAGCGTGATGGTCAAATCGATTGCGAGTATGGACGCATTGTACTGCTTGCTTAGGCTCTCGATCAGCGGCAGGTAGATCGTAGCCGTCAAAGACGAAGCAAGCGTTAAGTAGCCGAGGAGGTAGGTGAAGTAAGTGCGCTGACGGCTAGTGAAGATGGTGAACGGTGGCGCTGATACTGCACTTCCTTCGCCCATCTCGGCGTGTGTGTTTGCTGTCGACATGCTAACGTTCAAGATCGGAAAGTGGTGGTGTGGTCGGCTAGAGCGCCGCATCGCTAGGCTCATGCACTCACGTGGCACTGTGATAAGCAAGGGTTAAGCTCGCTGTTGGATGTCACACGAACAATGACTCCTGTGTTGGGGCTCGTCACATCTTGTACACTTGAACTGTCGGTTTCCGCATCTTTTTACTGCTGGCTATCACCGGTTTCCATGCGCATTGTTGTTCGGGTGATGGCTGATACAGAGGTTGTGCGCATCAAGACCGCCGTGCCCCGCACGGTGATCTCATACGTTGATCCCAGCGTTGCAGCATGTGAGTTGACTGGGCAATTGACTTCATCTGGGCTGCTAACCTCAGCATCAGTGCTTCCTGATGGGTTTAAGATCAAAAGAATTTTACCTCATGGCTTCTCAAATTGGAATCAAACTGCTCGAATTCTTACGCTCAACGACGTCGGTGAGGAAGTTTCGTACTTCCTGAAGGTTAGCAAGCTAATGCATGATTATCATTGCTAAACTTGACAGCTGTTCAGGTCTCCTGTGGCGATGTTGGTAAGGGTATGATGCTTGGGGAGTTTACTTCAATGTCAGCCCTTTACGAAAACATGCCAGATCTCGTCCCGCAGCCGATCGGCTGGGGTGGTTACGCAAAAGATGCTAACACTTACTTCTTCATATGCGCATTCCGCGAGATGACTGGAGAAGTACCTGGCGAGGCATCCACCGCAGTCGACCACAGTGAAGAATCTCACGGTAGATCAAGTAAAGAGCTTCAACGCATTAGCGACTTCACTGGCCAGATCGCCCGCCTGCACAAAACCGCGCTTTCCCCAACAGGGAAATTCGGCTTTCCCGTCACGACATATGGGGGCAGACTTCCTCAAGACACCACCTTTTGCGATAGTTGGGAAGAGAGCTTTACACGTGGCATACAGCGGATGTTCGATCTCGAAGAATTACAGCATGGCCACGACAAAGACATGGTACAGCTGCGCGCATATATCGTGGATAAAGCGATACCGCGGTTACTGAGGCCTCTAGAGACCGAAGGCAGGAGCATTTCAGCATGCTTGGTACATGGCGATCTATGGGACGGCAATACCGGAGTCGACAGAAACACGCGGAAGCCAGTGATCTTCGATGCGTGCTCGTCGTATGCGCATCACGAGTGTAAGCTTCACAAGCTTGCTGTTTGACACATACTGACCGTAGTCACGGGATGTTAGATGATCTAGCTCCCTGGCGACTCAAGCGCCACAAGATCAGTGGAGCCTACATAGCCGAATACCTCAAACACTACCCGGCGTCAGAGCCTAAAGAGGACTTCGAACACAGGAACGCTCTGTATTGCATGTAAGCCTCGTTGAAGCAGCATGCTTTGTTCAGTCGAGCTCAGCTGAAGTCTTTATAGAAGGTTCAATCTCTGCTCGTCGGCACTATATTCGGGTGAGCTCAAGTACCGTGAATTGTAAGATCTTTATACACAGTTGAGAAAAACTTTACTAAGCCCCAGCAGTGTCAAGGATGAGATGAAGGCGCTCTTGTGGAGCCTTTTCGGCGATCTCGAACATGCGAAGGTGTGGCAGGATACTGCAGTCACGGGACGGAGTGATCGACCGAGCAAGTTGTGATTTTGTTGTACTGGGATACGGAAATGTTACATCGTTAAATACGAAAACAAAAGACGCACAAAGTGAGCGCGAAGTTTCGCATGGCGTTTAGTCAAGACATCAGCCGCCAGCGACCGGAGAAACAGGTAACGTCGATACGGGAGCTGATAGGAAATCGATGACAGAAGCGACAGAACAATGGTCGTTGCGCAAAGAAACCCTTCAAGATCAAGCAGCCACTTAGTAGTCAACCTCTGACTCGCAATCGCCGCCATTACCGATCTCAAGACCGTCACCAGCGGCAGATCGCAAAGCATCCGTGACGGTTTGCTTGTATGGCAAGCGAAGACCCAGATCCAAGAAGAGACTCGCATGCCACTCGTGCCCATCCAAAGCTTCGTACTTGAAATTCCATTGGCTCATATCGATACCTTTGCTGTCGCCCAGGGAATTTTCGTATCTCAATTCGCTGTACACGGCTTGTTGGGCTGCGAAGGCGCTGCGCAGCTTTTCGCCATAGTCGTTCCTGAGCCATCCCGCCCCCCAGATAGATGCGGTGCACTTCTCTTTGTTTTGACAATTCTCAATCTTACACCATGCTTTCGGTGTGGAAGACCGCTGGCCCGTGGGTGTAATGGTGAATCTCCAGCCGTTGATCTCGAACTCTCCACCGGCCTTCCAGCCCACTGGGTTTTTCCATCGGTCGTTGTTGCACTCGTCTAAGACCTTGTGAAGATTTGTCTTACATTCCTCCACGGTAGGTACAGGCCCCGCGGTGAGTCTGCTGGTGACGCCAATTTCGACTGCCTCGGGGGTACTTGGGAAATAATGCCCTGTGCCGATAGAGCCAGTAGCGCCTTCTAGCTTGGGACAGTAGGTGTTGTCGATAAGATCGAGGAGCGCGTCTTTCGCAACGTACTTGTTTTCCAGGTCATTGCAGGACAGCTCGGAGGTAGGTGTTGCAGTGCCCTCGAGACCTTGGTACGCAGCAAAGAATGCATTCTTGTAGGCCTCGTGGCCTTGAACGGTAGGGTGGAAAGTTCGGAAGAGCCACAGCCAGAGCGATGCCGCATCGGGCTCGTTTGGATCATCGGTTGCGACGTTGTTAGGAAGGTCCATGAGGTCAATTGATGTTCCGTTGTGGGCCTCGTTTGCGATTAAACATGTGAAATAGTTTCCAGATCCTCCACCACTATCCAGGATGGCTTGGCAGTCGCCGGAGGGTGTGGTATCGCTGACAGTGAAGTTTTTCTCAACGTTGGTGTAGAATTCGCAAGGAAAGAACCAAATGTCCTTATTTCGATAGCTCGGCTCTTTGACACCTTCCTCGCAGAAACGGTGCCCTTCGAAGTACAGGTCTGTATCAACATATGTTATCCTGCCACTTTCAGGCTAATTTGCATCAATAACTAATTAGATCTTCTTGTTGAGCCTAAGGTTCAGCTTGTTTATCTGTGTCCGCTGATCTTTCGTAAGTGGCAAGAACTTCTTATCTTAGCACTAGAGCTTAAAAGTAACATTGTTACAAGCTCTTGTGTTAACAATACTTCTCTTTTTAAGAGAACCTAATTATATAAATATATATAAATTTTAGAAGTTATAAGTTACTTATTATAATAAGTTATTAAGTATACTATAAAATAAAAGTAATAGTTCTAAAGTATAACTTTATATATATAGTAATATAAGTTAAAAGTAAAGTATATAAGATACTTTAGTATTATTATTACTTATATAATATATATATATTATAGTACTTTTTTTTACTTTTATTACTTTTAAAATTCTAATTTAACTATATATTTTTATTAATATTAAATACTACTAGCTCTTACTTACTAATATAGTAAGAGTAATCTACTACTAAGTAGCTATATAAGCTAAGTATTATTAATAAATACTTATAAATATAAATATAAATTTATATACTTAATAAAGTATTAAGTTATATAAGTTTTACTTTAAGCGCTTACTTAGTATATAATATAATATAACTTATAATAAGTATACGCTAATAGCTATATATATAAGTTTATACTAAGTAAGTAAATATTTTTTTTATACTAAGATAGCTATAGTAAATATACTACTTATTTATTTAAGTTAGCTAAGTTACTAGCTCTTTTAAGTAGAGACTACTTTTTTTACTTAAAGTAATATTAGTAGTAATATAAAATAGTAGAAGTATACTAATATACTTTTTACTTTTTATAATATATAAGTTAAAATATAAGTTAGTATTTAAGCTATCTTAAATAGTAAAAATAAGTATAGAACTTTATACTAAAGTAAATAAAATATATTATAAAATATATAATTATATAGGTAATAATAGCTGTAGGTAAGACATAAGAGTAATATTGTTATAATATTTAGTATCCTGATTAAAGAAACGCGGGTAGCCAGTGATGAATAGATTAGTCCCCGGCGCGTTTTCAAAGATCGCTTTGATAGTCTCTCGGAGGTCATCGGGAAAGTTTCCGTTGACACCATCAATTCTATCTCGTACTTGGGTGATTGCTTTCGCGCAATCTTCAGAGCAGTCGGGTGAAGAGTCGCATCCATTACACCAGAAATCCCAAAAGCGATAGACACACTAAGTGTTATGTCAATATGGAAGAACTCAACTCATATGCTGAACTTACTTGATCAAGCAGGTAGCTGAACCCGACGTCATTTCCACCGATCGACAATGTAACAAGCTGTGGATAGAAGCCGTTGATGCGCTGGGCTTGCGGAAGTGGGGTCGGGATGGGGTCGCCTCCATCGTTTAGGTCTTCAGACTGTGGTTCTTTGAAGACGTGCTTGGTCAAGGCTCCTGTGCAAGCAATGAAACCGAATGCGTCGATGGTGTCCCTGCCCTTGCGCAATATGTCATCCGCGGCGACCTGGCGAGTCCAAGAGCCTTCGTGGCGATGGCACCAAGTTTCTCTACCATGGTCGTATTCAGGACCAGCACCTGGACCCGCAGCGAAGGAGTCTCCGAGAGCTGCATAACGGTCGACTTGAAAGCCGTCCCGGGATTGTAGGCGATGCCCTACGAGGGCGGCGGAGGAGGTTTGCCAAGCTGCGGCCAGGACGAGAAGCTCCTGTACGAGCATCTTGATGGATCTCTGTGTAAAGTAAAGATGAAGAGCACTGTTGAAGGCCAGCTATGGGTTCCTGAGGATTTATGTTTATATGCAAATGTCTCTTCACGTGCCTCTGGAGGCGAGCCCCATGTCGCGGCGTGGTTCGTGAGGATATACAGAGTACGTTGTTTGAAGTTGAGACACTTAGAGGTGTACAAGCCCCTAAAGCTGACCTGAGTCCAAGTTGCCATGCCACTGAACTGCCTGATGCATGTAACAAAGTCGACGAAGACCGCAGATCGTGCTTTTGAACACTGTTCGCGGCACGGCAGCAGGATAGAAGGGGCTGTTGATTTAGCCTGCCAGCCTAGATAGCTGACGGTAGGGATACGATATACTGACTTCGTCTGTCATATGCTGCTTATCCAGTATCTCTCGATCATCGCGCGTGCTGTATTGTGGGTTACTGCGGCATGCTCAGAAGTGTCTGCCAAACTGTAGTGACGTTACCACTTTCATCATTGATAATAGCCCCATTCATGGCGAGGGCGAGATAATGCCGTCCATTGGGTTCGGTAAACAGCTATCGCGCTCGCGAGTCAGTCTTGGTCCAGTCGGTTGCAACAACTTCGTGGAACACACTCGCATCTTTTCGGTATCGCATACGGCGTTGTCAGCGTTTCAGAAGGTAGAAGGCTAATGAAAAGAGATCATCCGATGCTGTATACGTACGGCACATATGGCTCTCACGCAGCATACTGACATGGCTATCCTGTAGGGGCTGAGATATTTCGAATAGGTTGCATTTGTTGACATCGCACGGGTATCAGCTTTTTTCATAGCGATTGCGGTGGATTCAAGAAAGCGCATCATCCTCGCATAATATAGTCCACTCTCGGTGGAGGGAGCAACATGTATCCTCGGTAGTTGCGCATGTGTGAAGGAAGCATGTATGGGCCCAAATGCGAAGAATCTGGTCAGACGGACCGTCCAGATGGGAAAGCGGCAAAAGCGGAAATCTTCTGCACAATTGGTTTCGCCAGATATGCGTGTTTCATGGCATTAGAAGCGGTCGCGACTTGGCTAGGGGGCGCAAAGGAGGTACGCTTTCCACGCGGAGTGAAAACCAATGTGAGCGCAGACCCCCTGCAGGTGGGTTATGACGACATGATCCTGCCAAGACACTAGCCCCAAGCAACAAGGAAGTGCCACCGTGCCATTTCAGGCCCCCGGGGCCACAACTAACTCCAACCGTAGTACGGAAGGGGCCACAACGCTGGGGCTGTCCTACGGCACAGAAACAGTAATCTATACCGATAAGATTTGAGACATTGGGGGCCGCTCATCCCGTCGAAAGTAAGGCATCGATCTCGGGACGATGTTTGCTGATATTGCGCCGCAAAGGTACGGCGACTGAACCGAACACACGCTCCAAATCTCATGATGCTGTTGAGAAGGAGTCGTGAGCTCACTTAGCTCACACTACTGTCTGGCTCTTCTTTTCGCTATCCATTGGGGCTCCTAAAGACATCCTTAAATATGTCTCCCAACTTCCATCTGTTCTTTGTATACGCTTTAACCTTCTGGTTACAATACTCCTTGGCCTACCACGGAACATCAGCGGACTCCATCACCGTCGGTTTCGCACTCACAGTCGACCATGCCACTGCTACAATTCGCCACAACAGCACATTCTTCGAGGATCTGGTCAAAGTCGAAGCTTGTGAAGAATATGTCAAGTTGATGAAACTGTTCTCGTTGGAGTCCTCCCAACATCCCAGGTGTGTTCTCTCATCATAGCATATGCACAAGATATAAAGCTGATCGTCGCTCAAGCCCACCGTACGAATCACTTGGTGATCTATGGAACGACATACCTCGCCAAAGAGAACGAGCCGCACGCAGAGAGAAAGGACTTCCTGCTTCATCGGAGGTGGCCGTGATTGCAACATTACTCAAAGCCATCGCGGATGTCGCCGAAGCATCTGTGGGTGATCCTATCGCCGCTCTAGTGAGCTTCCCTGCTCTGCCTGGTCTATATCAAGAGGACATAGTCGACGCTGCCTATTACATCGGTCTTCCAAAGTTGGCGAGAGGCCATGCGGATCATCCTCACGAGATGGTTGCCGCGTACGCAGGTTACGGCTACGGCTTGTGCAAAAGCTACAACCGTGTGAATCGATGCTTACCGGATCGTGGACACGACTTCCCATCGCGTGCTGTGCTATTGATCGAGTACACTGAGACTGCACTGCTATTGCACTTGGACACCTTGGGTAAAGCGGTCGAATTGTCGTGGCCGAACATGTACTTGGATCTTCACTTCGATCTTGGTAGTTCGACGACGCCGGACGAGCAGGATGTTCGTAATAGTGTACTCCGCTTTCTGTATCATCATTACAACGAGCGACTGAAGGAAGGACCGCCGAACATGACTGTCATTCTGGTGGGCGACCCCACGAGCGCTAGTGATGGCAAGGTACAGCGGGCAACAACGATTGTGCTTGAAGCTCTTGGGGCGCACGCCGACGTCCTGGCTGAGAACCCTGCATATATGGCAGCAAGGGGAGCTGCAGAGATGGCGTGGCGCACATTTGATGTGGACGAAAGAATGGAGTTGTAGCTCTTGTTGTAGGGCTCGCGATAGCTCTCATTCACGATGATCAGATGGAAGCTGTGGATGCAAGGAACGAGGATGTGCATCCGCTAGTCTCCTTGCCGCTGCCTTCACTAGCTACCTTTCAGCACTTGTTGATATTCGAAGCACATTCTACTTGCAATCTTCGCGACTCCAAAAGAAGAAAGCCGGCAAGTCTCAATTATGGATAGCGGCCCAGTCATGAGATTCGAAACTCTGCACAACCGAAATTTTATCGCTGCAGAAACTGCTCAGTTTGTGGAGTTCCGGTCAGCATGTGGCACAGAGACAGTAGCTGGCCTAAAGCAAGCCGAGTTCCGCTCTTGAAACGATGGGGGCGAAGCACGCTCCGCGATAGAACTGTGCCACTTGGGCACATTGTCGTTGCCTAAAAAACTCGCATGTTGCGATACCTCTACAACTCCATGAAGCGTAGCAAACACTATCATGCCCAAGATTATCTCCCTCATCCTAGCATTCGCTCTATCGCCCTTGCTAGTCGCATGTACCCAGAGCGTCCTGTCCCTGGACAAGACAACACCTAACCAGCCCACGGTCGGCTTCGCCCTAACTGTAGATCACGTCGTCGCATCTGTTCGTTGGAACAATGTCTCAACAGAAGACTTGGTAGAGCTAAAAGCGTCCGAAGAGTACATCGAACTCATGCGACATTTCTCACACCCATCGTCTCAACACCCAAGGTATGGCCCCCACCGCCAAGTAGCCTAGTAGCAATCTGGGCGACTACTGAGACCGGTAACAGCCCTCCATACCACAGTCTCAAGGACCTATTCGATGACTGGCCCCGACAAGAGAAGCGAACCACGCGGAAAGAAAAAGGTCTCCCAGCATCACCAGAAGTAGCAGTCATCGCGAAGGTCCTCGAAGAGGTTGTTGAGGTAGTTAAGACGTATGTAGACTCACCAATTTCGGCCCTGATTAGCTTTCCCGCACTGCCAGGCCTCTATCAGGAAGACATCAGGGACGCAGCGGACTATGTCGGCCTCGCGAAGTTGGGTCCGTGGCTAGAGGCATCACATCCGCACGAGGACGTCGCCGCATACGCAGGAAACGGTCTAGGTCTCTGTAAGGAGTACCACAACGAAGAGAAATGCCGTGAAGAGGGGAAGAATTTCACGTCTCGCCATACGCTACTGGTCGAACACACCGAATCCGCGCTTCTTCTACACCATAACATCCTTCGCGAACCGATCGAGACATCGTACCTATATATGGATCTTGCAACCTCATTCGACTTAGGCAGTGCTCATGAGCCCGACGAACTGGACATACAAGATTTTGTCCTAAGTTTCTTGTACCACCAGTATTACTACCCGACGCCTCATCTTCCCGACTCAATTACTGTGATGATGACGGGTAGTCCCGAAAGTCTCAGCGATGGGAAAGCTCGAAGGGTTACGAAACGTGTCATCGAGGCGCTAGGCGCAAAAGCTGTAATGGTAGAAGAGAACCCTAGCTTCAAAGCTGCAAGAGGCGCAGCTGAGCTGGCATGGTGAGCGATGAAGTTCAGTGAAGGGGTGCAATCGTGAGATTAGACGCCGCTGGAAGAGCCGCTGCTGGCCTTCTTACCATTTCGCTCTCACTTGGATTGGGGTAGACTTCAATGAACTGTGCAATCGTATACACGTACTCATACGTTTCGGCATACATAAAATACATTGTTTTGGTGACCGTGTCAGTGCAAATATGTGGGCACAACCGTGGTCCGAAAGAACAGCGTATGATCGCAATGCTGGCGGATTTCTATGAGACATTGTATCTGCTGCATGCAGCTGTATATAACACACCAATCATGGGCATGATCGTGAGATACCTGTCTAGCCACACAGTCTGCAGATTCTAGCGAGATAGGTGGTGGAAGCGGAATGACTTGGCAACATATCACGATTTTTGCATGTCTCATGTTGTAGGAAGCAGCAAGCTAGTGAGGGGCGAAAATTTAGGGGTGACGATCTTTGAAGTGGATTATTGTACGTGCCGCTATGTAGGGGCCGACTTCCTACAGGCAGGCACCTAGTTCATGGCGCTGTCAAGACGGCCAATAGGACTACGGCTTGGGAAAGAATAGAGTGCGCCTTTGACTCAGACTGCGGTCTGGTCCTAGGTTGGGCTGGGTCTTTGAGATTGTACTTTGGTATACGGTATGATTGCAATAGCTTTGATGTTGTTCGCTGGAGTGCTGTCTGGTGTCTACGGCTTGGGGCTATACCGTGGCACAGAAACCCTACTTTGTAATACTTTCACTTGAAATATAGAATGCGCCCAATTGTCTGCCGAAGACGCCATGTCTACGATGTTGCGAAAACATTGTGCCGCATGAGTACAACGAACATTCCACAACTGGCACGGATGAAGTTCATCGCTCTTAGATGTTCTATTGGGACCAATGACGTGGGAAATATCTGTCCAAACCGTCTTTTACATAGTCTCTGGAATCTGAAATGGCGAAAAATTAAGATCTGTCGGTCCACCCAAGATCAATTGACTCATCAACTTCCCCGTGCCCGGTCCAAGTGTCAATCCCCAAGACCCATGCCCCCAGCACAAAAATACATTACCCCCTCTTCCATCTGTCTGAAGGCCATTATGATGAGAGAGTTTATCAGGCTCGACCATAGCCATCATCGGGCGCCCCGAGCGCGTAACAGGTCGAAATGCCCGCCCAAGCGCAACGACCTCTAGCTCCTCGAACGCGTCCGGATCGCCAGCGTTGTGGACGCGAAGAAAACGGTAGGCGCGACCTGTGAGCTCCGCAATCCTTGCAGCATCTGGCAGACCTCTCGAGCCTAATGGAGGTAGCGTTCCCTTCACATCTTTTGCTCCACAAACCCATATCGTGCCATCGTTGCGACCTGCGAATTCCAACTTCTCTCCTACGATGTCGTTCAGGCCCACAAAATCCACCGAGTTCTTCGCGACGGGATTCTGGTTTCGGAAGACGATCCAATCGCCCGCCTCTGTGGCTGAGTCGATCTGGATTGAGGACGAGGGGAACAGCGTTTTGTAAACTGCTGGGGTCCACGGGCCCCCGGCTAGAACGAAGTTGTCACATGGAATTCTGACGGAGGATGAGTCTTCTCGAATAACGGTTACTGCAGTGGCTCGGTTTCCTTCGTCCAGCTCGACGGCAGTGACTCTTGTAGATGTCTCAATGCCAACATCCATGTCAATACATGCTCTTTCAAGCCATCTGCCGAGGCCGACTGGGTTGCTGCAACGAACTTAATCAGCATGAGAAGGTGATGCATGTACAACATGCTTACACCATTGCGTTCTCTGGCCCCAGGAACTCGGTGTCCACCCCCCACGCATCGCTCGTTCGAAGCCAATCCGGCAAACGCTCTTGATCATCCCCATCACCCTTGGTCAACCCGAAGATGGAATTGAAGCGGAGTCCAGCAGTATCACACAGGTCGTTGCTCCCTGCCAAATCACGCCAGGCTGCAAAGCTGTACTTCCCAAGCTCATCCATGATCTCGTCGTTGAATTTGTAGTGAATGCATCCTGTGCAGGTCCCGGATGTCTCTCCGAAAGCACTCACTGATCCTTCTATGACGATGGTGCTGCTGCTTGAGAGACCCGCTTGACGATTTGCGTGCGCGAGATGATAGGCAGTCCACAGACCAATCGATCCCGCACCTACGATCATGGTGGTCTTGTTCTCCGCGGACATATCGTCAGCCTTGCTGGAGGTGAACAAGGGTGTTGAGACGATGCTTGATCATTCAGGATTGTGTCCGCTGGTGGGATTAAGGGCGGGGTCGATGAACTCTGCTGGCCCCTAGGTCTTAAAATCAGTGCACGTGGGCTGACAATGGGTAGCTTGGAGACCCTGAGCGATGGGGAGGCTGAAAGGGCGAGAAAGGTGGTTATTCAGATCGAGCATTGGGAATGAATAAGAAGATGGAGTCTTGAAGATGTAGTGTGCATGGGTAAAGTAGTCGTTTGCTCGATAGCTCCAAAGGGCCTACCCTCAGCATATCCGCGTCGCCGGATCATGATTATAATCAAATGCCTTCAGCAGCGCCACCAAATGCAGCGCCGCACCCCCAACAGCACAAAGATGAAAGATCTGATGTGAGCAACCCCAGATATCGAAAAGTCCCGGGCGAAATCTCTCCGGGAAGCGGATCTGTGCAAAAACGTCAGTAATGTTCACTCCAAATCGAATGTGTTCCAGAAAGACTTACCGCATAGATAAAAGCCCCCGTAATATAAAACAGCCCCTCAAAAATCATCAACCGCCACCCCATCTGCCTATCCGCCTGCTCCCTGCCAAACGCCTGAGCCGCATGCGTCATCGGCACCGCACCCGACCAGCCAATCGCACAAAACAGCGTCGCCCTCGCCCACCTCCATTTCGGTGTGCGGAACCGAGGAATCGAACAAAGCGTCGCTGCACCTGTGACAATCGAAGTAATCCCAGCCGAATACAGCACCCAGTATTGTTTCTGGCAATAAAACCCATAATACGTGCCCGAATACACCGTGCCAACGATAAGCACGAAGATGCCGTAAAGGTCCAATTGCAACCATGTGTGGTATACTTTACTGCTGTGATTTCCAAACATGTGAAACGTAGCACTAACGCCGAAACACACGACCGCACTACCCACAAACACCCCAAAGGCCAGTAGATCATTAATATCAGCAGTCTCGTAACGGCTGCTAATATTGCCGTAGGCGTAGATGGCGTAGAAGAGGATAAGGACCGCGCCGATGAGATGCGTGTAAATATTCCCAGTCTGGTTGTGCAGATACGACAAGCTCTTCAGACATTCGCGGTAGGAATTGGTGGTGCAACGATAATGGTTTTTGAGGTACTCGTTGTCGCGTTGCCAAGGGTGGACTTCTTGGAAGGTGTAGAGAGTGCGGCTTGGCGCTGGGGGCGCGGAGGCGGAGCGTTTGGTAGGGGTGTTTGTTGTGAGGGGGGTTAGGTAGGTTGTTGACATTTTGGCGGCGGGGGATTGGGGTGCTGAGGCTGTTGTTGGAGGGTTTGCTTCCTGGAGTCCACGGGTTGAATCAAGGAGATAAAGAGAAAGGAGACAAGAAAAGCGTAAATGAGGAATCGTCAACGAGGGCGAATGCGCATCCTTGTACTCGTATGTCCACCTCTTGCGTCTGCTCGCAATTAAAGCAAAGACCTCAGTCAACACCTGTCGTTCGGTCAAATCAAAATAATCCCACAAAGTCGCTATGTATCGTGTGAAGTTCCCCAAACAGAAACAGCGAGCTCCCACGGTACTTAAAGGGACACCTGTGGCTCGGGCCCATCCAGACCCCCTTGACAGGTACATAAGCCTTGTGGCAGTGCAACCGCACCGGGCGGAACGGCATAATGAACCACCAAGCGTCCCCTCAAAGGAGCAGGAGAGAACCTGGAACCGGGAAAGCGGGTACCTACGTAGCAGATAACACATGTGTGTGGGCTAGATCAAAAGGGGGTACACGTGGGAGATGCCGAGGCGCGTTTGATTGGTGGAGCCACGCGTCCCTGTCAGCACCGACAATGGCACAAGCCAGCAACTTCATTTCAGAAGAGAACAAGCAAATGATAATTTCTCAACACCGTGCAATAAAAAGACCCAACGACATTTAGAAATGAGTATATTCGTGCATAAAGGTAGACATGACATTTTGTTGTAAAGGAGGGGTATATAACCAGAGTATCGCATCGCATCGCCTAGTGTCGTATATCGTATATCGTATCGTATCGCGTAACATTCCGTAATATGTACTCGAACAAGAAGAAGAGGAGCAGGAGAGCAACGTTGCACTCATCAATCAGAGTGCCAGTCACTCGCCTGGCTCTCTCCAAACTCGCTCCTATAGCGCCTACACAACCAGAAAGTCAACACACCAGCACTCGAACAAAATAGGAACAGCGGAAACATAAAGGAGCACTGGTGACAGCAAGACACAAAGCAAATCGCACTTACTCATCCCTTCCGCCCCCGTTTTCACTGCTCTCGCCCTGCATGCCCAGTTTGCTTGCGTCCAGCTTCGCCAACCCACTCTCGCCGAGTGTGTCTCCGCCCCAGCCTTCCTTCTTGCCCTCGATGAGCATCTTCATCATGTCCTTTAGTTCGCTAACTTCTTTCCTCAGCTGCCTGACTTCCAACACCGCAGTGTCGAACTCGACGTTAGGGCGCGAAGCCTGGACCTTCTTGTCCCAGCCGTCGGCTTCAAAGTCACAGCCGTCAAGGACTTGTTCCCACTCCATGGTTGTGTCTTCGTCGTCTTCGCCGCGGCGGCGGTTGTCTCGGACGACCCAGGCTTCTTGTTGTTCGAACATGGCGGTGATTACGAGGAGGGGTGAGTAGATTACTGCCATGACCTATTTTGTGTCAGCTTTCTGTGCAACTAGATCGTTCTGGATATGGATTGTGAAAGAATGCTGTAATCAGTACTAGGTGATAATTGTCTCATAGCCGAAGCTCTGAAGTAGCAAATACATAGAAATCATCATATAAACAGCGGAAGCGAGGGCCTATGC